CTCTCTCTCTCAAATAAATAAATCTTTAAAAAAAAAAATACGTGGAAGACCTCTTACAGGATGCTGACTCTCAGGCCAGAAACACCCAGTTCTTTCTCTTACTCCAAGGGTGAGGAGCCTGGAGCAGGGAGAGACTGATCTGCTTGAGCACAGCTAGCTGGTGGCGTGCACCGCCCATTGTTCTTTCCGCCCACATTCTCCTTACTCTACTCAGTATATACCGCATACACTTCCACGTCATGCGCTTATCCAACAAAATCTTCCTTCTCTTATTTTAAAGAGAAGGGGGGGGGAATAGGAGATGCGTCTATGCTACTTATGCAGCATAGCTTTATCCTCATGCTATGCAATAGACTGCTGATCTTATCCACCAGCATTTTATCCAGCCGGGCGTGTGCCTCTCCCAGGCTGGAGGCGAACGCAGCATTAAGGAGACGGCAAGCGTTTAAGCCTCTCCGGCATGAGCAACATCAACCAGGAACAAGGGAGGTAACAGGTGTAAATCACTTCACATTGTATCACCTCCTTAAGACGCAGATAGAAAAGCAGTATCGGTTCTGTGTAATGGTTGATAACGGTGTACGAGGAAGCTGTCATATGCTTGATAATATGCAGGATCTCTACCAGAATATTCTGAACTGACCAAACCAGTGTTGGGTATTTCCAGTATTAGATAGTTTCACTTCGGCAACGAGAAAGTATTTCAGCACCCACACGCACACATTTGTGTACAAAGACTTGCAAAGCTGCAACTAGTTCTTTCAAACCCTTGTTAACCAAAATCTATAAATAACTATGAATCATTACGGTGAGTGCATCACCGGGAAGACCCCCTAGGCTGTCTCGGAAAGCTTTGGGTGAGACCTGCCCCCTCCCCTCAGAGCCTCCACGATTGTTGGCCTACAGATGCTCACGTCATCAGCCACGGTGGACTTGACCCAAAACCATTTCTCAACAAGTGTCATTCTATGAATTCAAAGTTTGATAATCCTAGCAGAATACTATTGGGAACACTTGTGTTGTGTTCAGGCTCTTGATCTAAAAAGCGTTCAACTATAAACTTTTACATACAAATATGTACACGTATCGCCTGGCAAGAGCCCCTCGTCAAGCCTTTAGACATTGCACGTCAGAGTCTCTCAACAGAGAGCTGTCAGATTCACGCACAGCCTTCTGGAGTGGCCTCAGCGTGTGGCAGGAAGACTTTGCAGTCCCAAAGGCGTAGGTTCAAATCTCAGGTGAGCCGCCTCCTGGGGGTGGGATCTTGGGTATGACTTAACTGTTTTGGAGTACCAGTTGCCTCATTGAAAAATAGGAATGAAACGTTCTGTATAGTGGAATAAACTGTTGAGAAATTTAACTTAGAATTCAATAGTAAGTGGTCAAAGAAACTTTGTTTCTCACTGAAATATTTTAATATATGTCCAGTGCTTAGTACAGAGCCTGACACAGAGCTGTGTGCTACAGAAGCATAGGGTCTATTGTTATTTTACTATTCTTATTGAACAGTGAACTCACTTTGCTTTGGCTTTCAGGATGCTCATAGCTCAACACAGTGCAATAATAAATGATCAACAGATGAATGGATAAAGAAGATGTGGTATATATATATATATATATATATATATA